TAAGGCAGGTAGCCCTCGAAGTTTTGCCGTAATCACATAAACCAAACAAGCTGAAGAATAGAGTATTTTCTACGTAAGCATTAACATTTTAATATTGATGCAATTATAAATATTTGTAGGGAAATACTTGAATCATTTATCATTTTTTAACACATAAGGCTGATATTTTTAAAATGCAGTTGGGAACTGAAAACTACTCTCAATTATTTTTCATTCCTGCAAAACATTGAATTAAATATGAATTATTATATCTCAATAAATTTATTTCAAATGATATAGGAAGAAAAATTTTTGAATATTTAAAAAATACCTCTTATATCCGTTGCATTTAATAGTTAAATATTGGTACATGTTTTGTTATTACATTAATTTACTTTAAATCTTTAAGCTACTCTCAATCATAACTCTAAACAGCATTTCAAAAATGTGTTATATATGCATTTTTTCTCAAATTGCTAGTACTGAATAATTGTTAGATAATTAAAAATTTTAAGTTCAAGAGCACTTTGCCATAAATATTTAGCATAACAGATGCGATTATTTATCAAAAGCTATCTGTCTATTAGTATATCCTATGATAATTCTAAGCTTCTGAGTTTTTGAAAAAGGGTTGACGGAAATTTTACAAGAAAGCATTTTTAAGCAAGTAAAAATTGTATTACTCTCAGGTCTACTCTCAAGATTGTTTCCGATCTATGTACATTTCTGAATATGACATACACTAAATAATGGTAGTACAATCTATCTAAAAGCTATGTTGTTTGCTTCAGTTATAATTTTGTAAATATGAAGAAATATTTCTTGCATGAAATCTGATCATACGTACACAAGAAAACAAGAATTACAACTCTCGTGATTGGAGATAAATTATTTTTCCTTTACTATCTACGTCTTTCTAGTTTATTTAAGAATTTCGGGATAGGAGGAAGATATTTGAAGTAAAAAATAAATTGTTGTAAACAACGAAGGGATATCTTAATTAAAGAATCTTTCTACCATTTTAACAGCTTAGGAATCAAATAAAGATTATATTTTTCTGCTTTTTCTTTATATTTAGGTTAATATTATCTTCATTAAAATGATAAATATCCAAAATTTTAGCTGCATGGCTTAGGCTAAAATAAAGCTAAAATCTGGAGATTCTTGTTAGCAAACAGAAGGAAAAATCAGCTTTAGTGCTCTTGAAGTAAGGAAATGTGGATCTTTATAAAATTCTTTGATATACTAATCATTTTCTTGAAAGACTTAAAGAAAATTAGCTGTTATATAAATTCCACATTTAAAAATTAATAAATCTCCCTTGCAGTCATCACTTTTGTCAGAATTTTCAGAACCACACGAAATACCAGTATGAGCAGTTTTACCCATTCAGCCACTTCCAGACAAAATGCGAATCTGTGAAAGTAGTATCTTAATATAGTTAACTAATTTTATGCCATATAATTTTATTGTCTGATATACTAGCAACTTCTTATTTCACAAAAAAAAAGAAAGAAAGAAAAATTCAGTGTCCTTACACTGCAAACGAAGTTATTAGACCGAATCCTGTATCTGTTCATAAGAATGTAACTACAGCTGTCATCTAGATGGCCAAACGTTAAAACTAAAATCCTATCAAAGTAGTGATCGGTACTGAAAGATTTCAGACGCCGCAGAATTCCAATTTACCGCAGAACCACCTTTTCTTTCCAAATAAAATTTAGCTGGTTTTTTATTTATACTATCTTTATATTTTTTAAATAATACATTTCATATAGTGCATTATTTTTAAGAAATAACATATTATTCGATACACGATTTTTTAGAAGCTCAGTTAGTTACATTCTGTTATTATTTTCATTCAATAATAGACAACTTCGTTCACTCAGAAAGAACTTACACTTGTTTTGCAAAGTAAACACAGCTTTCTTTTACTTTTATTCAGCGCAATGAAAACAGAGAAAGGTAATTTGCTATTTTAATACTTTATGTGATGAAAAATTAATTACTTTGTTTTATTTTAGTTAAAATATAAGGGACTTGTGTATTTAGACAAATAAAACATTTTAATATATAATTTTAATTATAGTATTGCATTTTGTTTTACATAAGTAAAATATATTTTAACAATTTAATTTTATTTAAATAAAATACGGTAAATGTAAAACTCCCTCACTCTCAATATAGTAAAAACTGTATTGTTAGCCAAAAGAGAAAAAAAGCAGAATTATCTGACGTTTTCAAGTAGCCGGATGAGTTATTCTAGAAATTTTGAACTCTGTTGTATGGAGCTTCTATTTGGAACGCTGTACGCTCTGCTGTATGGCGCTGCTATTTGGAATTTATTATATTTGCTGTATGGTGCTGTATGCTGCTATTTTGGAACGCTTCTGTAGCATATGGCGTAAATAAAATTCAGTTTCTATCTTATAGCATACATTAAAAGAAGGAAATTGTGCATATAAATGTCTGCACTTTAAAATCACAGCAACCACTGTCATACACAGGTCATACGAAAACAAAGTAAATTCAAAACTCTCCTGAAAACTAAATTGATTAGTTTATGTGCACACATGGATAAGAGGTAAATAAAAGCTATTCCTTTGTGGGAACTAAGTTCAATGTTAATTACTTTTCATGGTTAGTTAATTCTTTTTCGAGCCCTTGATAAGTCCCCCCCCGCATTTGAGATACCCAAAGCATGTAACAGTTTGAACAGCAAAAAAATAAATAAGTAAATAAATTTTGAAATCAAATACCTTTACATATGTTTCTAGAAATAAAATTCTATTCACACCTAAGTATCCTCAACGGATAGATATACAAACAAGGTCCAATAAGTTTAGCTGTAAATTTTAAAATTCAATCAATTGCAATGCTATATTTTCTGTCCATTACGTAAGAAAATATTAATAATACTAACTATCAGTGCAAAACATAGAATTTTCTTCATTATCAAGGTTTCTTTTCCCCATTCCTTGGAATTAATTAGAAGTTGGTTAACGAAATTTGAATTTATTTTATTCTCAGCTCCAAAGAAGCAGAAGCTTTCAACTTGCTTAAATGCTTGGTTATTTATAATTTTTGGAGTATTTAATTATTTTATACTGATATGTATAATATAATAATAATGTAATATGCATAATAAAATTAAACGAAAACAATAAGTTTGATTAATCTGTTAGCTAAATCAAGAGCTGAAAGCTGTTGTAATCAAGTAGAAATAACTTTAAAAAATTCATTTTTAACTTTTGCGATATCTTCTTCAAAGGGTTGGTAGTTCAAGAAATGTAAATATGTAGACTGTTTATTAGTTAATCAATATGTTATTTAATAAAATAAAACAAAAATTAAACATATTTTAGAAAAACTTAAATTATTAAAAATCGAATTAAATTGTAAATTAGCTGCCAATTAAGAGGCTGAGCAGCTAATGTACAATATAATTTTATTTTTCAATCAATCGATTTAATTTGATTTAATTAAATTATAATTTAATGAATTTAAATACTAAGGAATTACTGGTAGAAAGAAAATAAGTCCAAATTGCGAAACAAAATGAAGAACGTTATTATGAAAAGATTTTTTTTAATTACGCAAAACAATAATAATAATAAATAAAAGACAACTAGTAACTTCAAATATCAAAGAGGTAGAATTTTACAAGAAACTAAGAGAAAGGTCATTCCAAAAAAACCAAAATTACGAGAAAAGGCAAAATTGCATAAACATTCGAAAACAGGGATGAAAACCAAAGACAAAAGCAGAAATTAAAATGCTAAAAGGCAACTTATATTTTCAAAATTAAATTTTAAATAGAACATAAAATAACTTATTAGCTAAGAGGAAAATATTTATTATTCCTATCCAACGACTTAGAATCTAGACAAAAAAAGGGAAAAGAAAATGCACACTTTAAATAATAGGAAAAACTTAAATCTGAAAAATTAAATAATCGTACGATTAAATGGACTTGAAACCAGTAAAACAAAAGAATCAGTGCAAATGACATAAACTTTATCTCTTAAACATCCAAATTTGAAATAATATTAGGAATCAAGAAATTTCAGCTTTTCCTTTTTATAATTTTTGGTTTTTTCGATTGACTTTTTCTTAGTGACTTACAATATTCGACCTCTTTGGTATTCTAGATTACTATTTTTTATTTTTTGTATTATTTTAAAACATTTTTCAATACAATTGTCTTCAATTTATTTCAGTATTTAGATGTATTGTCTTTCTTCCAGTTCTCACTCATTTTACTCAACATTTATATCAGATTTTTTGTAAAATGTAAAATACATATTTTGTTTCGAGTCGAGTCGCAGTAGGTTATAGATGACGAATAATTTATTAAACTTTCTTTAAATTTTCTTCAAAAACATTTTCGTTTAAGTTGTGATTGTATTGCCTCCAAGAATTCATTTTCATTTGATTACTTTTGTTTTGAACTTAGAAGATATTTTAATTTGATTTTTTTCCTTTCGCAATTCATCCAGATATAATCAGAAATGCGGCGCAGTTAATAATTCTTTACACAGCTCCTTGACAAAGACTAAAGAATTATTAGATTTTCTTTATTTTGTTGGTTTCTTTTTATATTAATTTACTTCTGTTTTAGTTTGATTTCAAAGCTTTTGCTTCATACTATTTTAATTTGTGATTCCTGTTAAACAGATTGCCATTTTTGGTATATATATGATATATATATATATATATATATATATGGCTTTGGTAGATATATGTATGTATTTCCTATACATTTTATCTTTAACTTAGCAATTACAATTTTAATGTTTGGTAGATATATGTATGTATTTCCTATACATTTTATCTTTAACTTAGCAATTACCATTTTAATGTAAGCTAATATGTGACTCTAGAAACTTCGAAATTTTTCGGATGGTTAGGCTCCTTATGTTACGTTACGTTATTCTAGCGTGGGGGATTCATTCAATCGCTTTGCCAATTCTTGCATCAGCATGTATCATAACGTCTTTAATTTATCTTGCAGGCGGCCTCTCGCATGGACGGTTCTCAGAAAATTTCCATTTGGTAAGATTTAAGATCTTTAATTTATTTCCTTATTTACGCAATAAAGACAATTCTTAACAATTTAGATCCTTACTTTTTTTGCAATATATTTTACTGGTATAATAGAAACGTATTTAATTTTTAATATATTCAACCAATAATTTTGTGAACATTTGTAACCTTGTTATAATTCAGAAAAATGGTTAGTTATGTATGTTACAGTATATTACGTACCAGTTATAAATCCGTTTTATTTCTACACATGCAAACTACATCTCTCTTTATTAATAGTTTAAATAAAGTCACTGTTCATTCAGAAAATTTGCATTTTTAGGTCAAATACTGGAAGCAGTTTTTACTGTTAAAAATGACGCTAAAAGAGCAAAATATATTTGCTTATATCTATAATATGCTATAGAGCAAAATATATTTGCTTATATCTATAATATGCTATAGAGCAAAATATATTTGTTCATATCTATAAAATGCTAAAGAGCAAAATATATTTGCTCATATCTTTCTAACTACGGCTTCCAAGAAATTTAATTACATTTTTGTTAATCTGAAAATCCCCTATTATTTTAATTGTTTTCCCTATTATTTTAATTGTTTTATTTCCAATTGGTATTAGCAATTTTTACATCTTATATCATTTTTAAAATATAGGAAAGAGACATTTCATTTTGACAGGCAATTATTCTTTTTGCTACTCTCGGCTAATAGTATGTTAATATATATGAGGTAAGATAAACAGATATTTTTTTATTATAGAATTTTTTAAAAAAAGAATTATTAATGGGTGCAAAATTTATTTAAATGACCTAAAACGAACTCTCTTCAATAAGTTACGAACATAATGTTTTAAACCTATTGATAAAGGTAGAAGAAATAACGTCTGCGAGAGTTTTCTTAATAGTTTCAAATGTAATTTTTCAGCATAATTTGTAGTCGTAATATTTTAAGACAGTGTTTTGTGAAATTTTGGGACACACCTGCTGACCTGGGTTCTAATCTAGGCGAACGGACTGGCCATATAGGCGTTTCCGTGTTTTTCTCCATGTGTGAAGTGTATACGCGCCAGTTTCCTTTAGAAAGTCCTCCATGAAGGCATCCCTTCTCCTTAGGTAGATAGCCCTAACGCGCTTTGCATTAATAAACTAAACCGAAACATAAAGTATGGGATGGGAAACAAGCTTTAATAAGTTACTTTTTTTATAATAAGTTTTGAAGGTTTCTTTTTGTGCTTTTTGCTACATAATTTCATATATTTATTTAGAATTACTAATTAATAATGATTATCAATTAATTTTTAACAGCAATTACAAATACTTATTCTCCACCATTTCATTAGCACATAATTTTTAAGAAGTCTTCCTTTCAAACTTTTTTCTTCAGGACTACTATATACTATTTCAGGACAGGACAGTTGTACTATCACTATGTGGTGCCCAGGGCCCATGCCAACAATAAATGCAATCCTGAGCTCCTAGCCACAATAAAATTTGTGGACTTCTGATGTTACTGTCAGACAACTGAGGTAAGCCCCGACAGTAACATATGGATGTGATTTTCTTAACGAGAAACTATGGCTAGCAATTTAGAATGAATTTTTTTTTTTAATTTTTATTTATTTGTTTATTTATTTATTTATTTATTTCTAGAAATTTTGTAAGATTTGCAAATTTGACTGTTGCATAGTAGGAATTAATTTTATTTATCGTTCAGTTTAATACTGACAAAGAAATTAACCTAACTGATTCATAATTAAGTATTACATTCAGTACAATTTATGTTATTTTCAGCAGTGTCAAAAAAAAAAACTAAAAATCTAAACAGAATTTTGCAGATTTTATAAACTAAAAACACTGAGCTGTAAAATTAGGCTAGCCTTGTTATTTTGTATTATCTTTTTATTTTACAATACATTCTTGCATTCTTGCATTTCAAAAAATAAGTAATAAATAAATAAAGAGAAAAAAAAGAGAATAATATGTAACTAAAAATATCCTAAATGAAGAGAAAAAAGGGTAGCCAAACTATGCAGTTATTAATTAGCAATTAACTCAAACTTTGTTTCAGTCATAAAAGGATAAATCAGCGATAAAATTTTGCATTATATAAGACTGTCGAAATATAGTTTAAACAGCCATAATTTGAAACAACTTGTATCTAACTCACTTTTTTATTTCATTTTCAGGTCATGAGTCGCTTAAGGAACGTAAAAGTGCCTAAAAAGCAATTGTGTATGATGAGAATAGACATCCAAAGAAAATGACCTTTTGTAGCTAGAAGAATGGAACTGCTGATAAGGACTGATTGTTTAGCATTTCAAGTCTTTGACTTTTTTATATTTTATCATGCTCATTATTAAATTAGACAACGGAAATAACATATTTGATGATAATGCCATTTGTGGATTCTGAATTTTGTTTTGACTTAGATATGTATATCTTGTTAACTTTCGCATTATAAGTTCATGGGAAAATTATTTTATTTTTAAGACATGTTTAATAAATGTAGTTCCATTAACTATCATAATTGAAATAAATTCAGTGACAACATTATAATACTAAAATGTAACAGATATGAGTATATGAATGAGAATTAAACATACTGTCAAATACTGTAAAGTATTTTCCTCAGTGCTTCATTTCAAACTGTGTCATTAAATAATCCTTTCGAATATTTCTCTCTTCTAATTCATCTGTGATATTCATTTAGAAGAACTAAAAAAGAATTATGAAGTATTTCAAAAATTATTTCTAATTTTATACTTCTTCACTACTGGTATAAATAAGAAATACCTTTTAAAAGTGTTTCTTTGAAAATAAATCTGATAATTTTAATACAACGAGCTTGGAGGTTGTTTGTAACTATAAGGAATTTTATGCTTTTTTCTTTCGAATAACGCCAGATTAATAGTATTTAACAAACTTTAAGACTGACCTACCTGCAAGGATCTAAAAAATATGATTACCAGACCTAAAATAAGGTTTTATGAAAACAACTACCTGAATTTAAAGGAAAACAGTACCATAATATCATAAAAATTAATTTGTTTATTTTATGTTTATTTTTTCAAGTAGATTTTCCACTGTAATACAATATTTCACGAAATTATGCATCTAATGATATGTATCCATACTCAGAAGCACGTATTCTACTTTAATAAAAGGGATTGCCCAGCATTGGTCAAAAATACATTGATCAAACAATATCATGGGATTTGAATGGTTGACTAAATTCCCAAAAGATCTCATGACGTCATAAAGTGTGGCAGTCTTTGTGGCTAAGTGAGTTATAGGGAGCTAACTGTCTACAGAAGCTTTGCTTTAGACTACTACCAACTCCGCAAGCAACTACCCACTCCGTGTTTTTGCAGGTAAGAGACATTTACATGGAAATTTTAATTGCACCCTTTTGATATTTTAATTGGTATATATTTAATAAAGCACAAATAGCTGCATTTTTATACGTTTACTATAATACTAAAAAATGCAAGGAACGATAACTTTTTATATGCACTGAAAATTGTCTTTTCAGAAAAAAATGCATCAAATCTTTATTTTCAATTTCTAATTTAAATTATATGTTTTTATCTGCCTTATAAAAATGTTTTGCAATCAATTCTACCAGTCGCTAAGGAAAAGGCTTAAATTTCAAACTTAGAAAAACATTTTGTGCCAAAATATAAGAATTCTAAATATCCATGCTCCTTTAACTTTGTCTTTTGATGTTAAATCTTCAGAATCTAATTATTCAAGATCATAAAGGGGAAATGGGAAATATGATTGTTTATTCAAGAGTGAGCACATTTAATACTGAATCGAAAATTTTGTAGTGATCTCTTTAAACATAACACAACTTTTTAAAACGGAAGTTCATCTAAACGTGTTTGATTAGAGAATGTACATAGTTTTAATTTATTATTAGTATTGCCAAAACTTTCTGAAAGCATTTTAGAAAATTTTACTTTTCAGTTTATCTAATCTATTAAAAATTATTATATTTTCTATGACATATTCTTAATTTGAAATTACTATTTTTAGTAACTGAGAGTTCGTAATTTGAAAAATTCTGATAAAATTTTAACAAAAAGTTGCTAATATTTTGAACTTTCAACTCGCAAAAAATGTTTCAAATAAAAATTCTGAGCTAAAAATGTATTTAGATAAGAAAACTTACCCCAAGTTTCAGACGTATTTTCGTAATATCTTGAAAATATGTAAAATGCAGATAATTTGACATGGCTGTTACTTATTAAAAATATCTTTATATCTACGTTCTCACTTAAATCTCTGCTCTGCGCTCTCTGAGGTTACAGACAGAAGTCACGATATACTATAGTGAACGTGTAGCGCAACGAAGTATTCTGTTGTGGTTGGTCGAAAGTCTGACACATATGTAATAAATCCTACATTCCAGACGCGTTAAATCACGGGTCGTTTAATAACTAAATCGTGTTTATTTTTATTGTTAAAGAAATATATGACCATGGTCGGTAACTTAAGAATTTACTGTACACCTTTAAAGTGATACGTCTAAATATCCAGTGGTAAAAACTAACTGCGAGATTAAATTCAAGGGCATTTTATTATTTCCTTCAATTTCTAACTAAATCAAAAGAATTTTCTATTGATATTGGAAAGAGAGTCTTGATAAGAAATTAATGCTTCTTCCAAAAATATGAATCATTTGAATTATTAATAAAATTAATTTGTTCGGTATAATATAATAATATTCGTATAATATTTTGTATATGCGAATATTTTTAGATGATCAAATGATATTTTGAAATTTAAATTTGTTCTTCCGAATAAAGCTAAAACACATTTTTCTAGTATTTAATCACTTGACACGTAAATTTTTTAGTAAATTGCAGAGAAATCTTAGGAAATTTTAGGATTAAAAAATGTAACTTTTCAACTATATTCATTAATTATGCAGCATTTTGACTGGCCTTATCAAACGAAAATATGTAGGAGGACGTATGTAGGAAAGTTCATCTTCTTTTATTGTAAAATGTCTAAAATAAAAAAGTAAAACATTAACCGTATTAAATTACACTTTAGAGAAAAAAAATTAAAAGTAGAAATTTTTTATCCATTTGATAGTTTTATTTGAGAATTTCTGAATTATTTTTTCTCGCTGTTCTTGTACGATAATTTACGCTGCACTATTTTCATACTTTCGTTGCAAAATTGCTTTTTCATTATAATATGTTTTACATTTTACTTTTAACCATGCATCGACTGGACAGTTGGTCCACTAGAGGTGCATATCAGACTGAATGTTATTTTATTTCCAATAGTGGGCATTAGCAGTTAGATGCGTAGCTACTACTGAGGCCAGAAGCGATGGTCACTTTATTATGAAAGCAGCTAATAGGTGGACCACCGTCGCCTATTATGAGGGAAAAGACAATTTACATGCATGCTTTCAACGATATTCGAACCCGGGACTCTTCGGTATGACAGCCAGACTTACTAATCACTTTCCCGTCTGCGCAGCTCAGACTAAATGTTCCTTCCATGGTTTTCTCTAAAAGGTCGATGGTTAAAAGGACTATGTCCAGTGAGGTCTGTCTTTGTATGGATGTGCAAAATTATGATGTGCTGTAGGAAATGCTTTGAACCAACAGGTATGAAAACTAAATGTGTTCCTCAGCAGAGTTACACTTATACCAAATTTAAGTTTATAATAAATAGCTAATAGTCAGGATTTTTTTAAAATTACTAATGATTGATAAGTATTTTTATCATACTGCAGAGAGAAGGAGAGATATGGATAATTAAATAGTTTATAGTTCTGTATTTTGTTACTCGGGTCAATACGCGGTTTCAAATTATTTATATGAAATTTTTTAAAACATGACAAATGTTCATGTATCGTACATTTGACATCTTTGATAAAAAAAAATTTAGTTTTAAAAAGCTTTCAGTTAACTGCGGTAAAAGCATGTGAGTATTTGTAATTCCCGAACATCCCTATCATAATAACTCAGTCATTGAACCATAAGTGAGTTCTGAAGAACAATTTAAAATTCCTACATATTCAGTCTAAAAATATTGGCCATATTCTATCTTAAATAGCCAAGCACTGTTCTGTCATTTTTAGTTAATTTATATGCTAAATTATGGTATAGTATTTGATATGAAAGAATTATTATATATGGACATCTTCTAAGCCGCCTGTAACGATTCCTGACTCTGTGGCTAATACAGATGATATGAATGCATGTTATTTCAAAACTTACTAAGATTTTTATATTCTTTACTGATTAGTCTGACTAATTAGATTGTCGATCCTAGTGCGACTGAGTTTTTATCATAACATTGACAATTAAGAATTTCGTACTTGTTTTCAGTAGTAAAACAGAACTGAAATAGATAGATTATTTGCAAAGCATACTAGTGCTATCTTCCTTAAATGCCTTTGTGGAGGACTTTCTAACAGAAATTTTCTTGCATTCCCGCTGTACACGGCGAAAACCTGTGAAAACTTCCATTCAACAAGGATGTTTGCAGGTGTTAGAACGAGTGCTGAATTAAAAGTATCAAGCGGTTTTATGCGCTCGGGCGCTGATAGGCCAGAAGTTAATTAGGCTCGAATAACACTTTTATGTATACTCTCAAACTGCATTCATTAAGCTCCTTTTGTAAAATAACATAGGAAAAATTACATATGGGTTTTCAGTTCTTAGATCTAAACAATATGCTCTTGAAAGAATAGTTTGCCCGCACTTAATTCTTTTTCAGTTGTGAATTTCGTTTAAAAGAAATAAATCAAAGAATCTTCAAAAGTTCTCCAGTAAATTCACGTCTTTCGAAGGCAACGTATGATATAAGGTAAAGGTAATTTACAGTATAGTGAAGAGAAATATTTCCATTAAAAATGTTTTACCAGCTGAAAAACATGAGAAAAAAACTCTCCTTCGTATCCGCTGCTTGGAAGGTAAGAAGGAAAAAAAATGAGTAATTTGTGAAACCATGACGCGTATTTTACTACGCACCTGCCTCCCTTGTGAGCAACTAATAATGACGGCTAGTGCTGTTTAGGGTTAAAATGCTTAGTGGTCATGAATTTCTTTTACCTCGTCTCGTGAAATGCTAAGGTTTACTAAGACGCGTCATTCACAAGCAGATTATATATCAAAACTTCATGGAATAAATCTGATATCTTCTTCGAAAATTTACTTATTTGAAGTTGCTTAGAATACTTAATTTTTAACAAGCTGTTAAATTCATGAGTCATGTAGCTAGATCATTTTAAGCAAATTTCTGCAAATTTTGAACCCTATATTTTACGCAGTAAATTTAATAGATTTTTTCTTTATTCAAAGAAAATTATACCTTAAAAATAAGATGACTATAGACAACTTATTTTTTTATAAACTTTAGTTATTATGTTCTAGCTTCGGCCATGTTAAGCTAGCAAAATGTTGAAGCTATGCCTGTTTAAACATTTTTCTATGTAAAATAGTATTCCTAATTAGAATAAAAATTCAGCTGTTATTTCGTCTTTCTTGTACCACTTAAAACTCTCAAAAAATATGATTCATTTTCAAAGTCCTTTTTTTTAATCACAAATGAATGTTTTATAGCTATCCCGATCCAATTAGAATAATGTACATGTAAGGTGATGCACAAAAGACGTTTATGCATTTTTGTATGATTCAAATACAAAATAATCCAAAACCAACAATATTCATCATTGATAGTATCTAGTCGTTCCATAAGCGGTGGGGTAAATAGGAAGAAAAATAAATTTCAGTGTCTACTAATTCAGCTAACTTCTTTTGTGTGAACTTTAATAATGAAAGTTTGATTTAATTTTAACCAATATAGTGCGATCTAAAGACAAAGATGCATCCTTGTTTGCCTAAAGTAGAAATTTTGAGCTCTAGAATAGCTATAAATTGACGATAAACTTATAGCTTTCTACATTAAACACGGAATTCACATTGTGTGATGTCAACATTTACCACGCATAAATAACTGCAATTAATAAACTGGCCAGTTTAATAAAAAATACTTCTCGTATAAATTAGGGCAGGATCTTCACATATTCTTGTTTGAAAAGGCTTCAAAATAGGTACTCACCTTTCTTCTTGCGATCTGTTATCTTTGATTAAAAACGCATTCAATGGAACCTTTCAACAGCATGCATTCATTTCAAAGCCACATGCGAAGGACTGCGATATGAGTATGCTTCTCTGGGAGGGTCTTGTGAAGCATTGTTTCCCTAATGTTTACAAATGGTATTTTTATATCAGTATTTCGCTCAGTTGCTTGAAGAATAGATATGATATTACGAATAACTTGCATCAGATGTCATCGATTATCACAAAAATGGTATTATCATAATTTTATCCGTCATATTTCATGTTTGAGTTCATCATTTTTTCAAATTAAATAGTAAGCTACTCCCCTTAGCTATTCATTTATAATCCTTCTAGCTAAAGTTATAATTTTTAAAAGCAGAGCGAAAAATTAACAAAATTTTCAGTTATTTGATGAGCTTAATAATTTTGCATTAATAATGAGTTAACCGAAAATAGCATAAAGTAAAGCTTTGCAAGTGAAACGCATTCTTAAAATATTTGTGAGTTAAAAACATCCACTCTAATTATTCAATTTATTCTTACCTAACTTGAAAATATAAATAATCTACTACTTATTAATTCAAATAATTGAATAGTCGTAATTATCAAAGAATCAAGTACTTTGGGTGTTCTGTATCAGTTTCCTCATTTTCGACCTTTTTACGAAAACTTATTGATTTAACTCTTAGATTATTTCAAATATTCAATGGCTTGAGATCAATTAATATTGCGAATTAAAAAAGATCTCAGAATCATGAAATTCTGCAGTTTATCCTCCTCTTGTATTAATATATCAAATACGTGTAAAGAAGCATGCAAAAAAATATGCGATATTTAGTTGACATTGCGTCATAAATTTGTAACATTTTGCGATAAAAAGGTGAATTATAATCACTACATATCTTAGCAAAATTATAAATCTAACTGCTAATTGAAATTTTCATCCACAATATTTTAAATCTGAATTTAATGTATTAATCCTACGTACCACGTTAATGTGCTAAATGGGACATAAAGTATGGAACTATAAAACGGTAATCCTACATTTAAGTTACCTTCTACAAAAAGCTTACGCTATTGCTTGGTTGATTCTTTGTTTGTTTTCCATGCCCGCCATGGATCTGAAAGTGCTGCATCAATCTGCATCTCTTCGAATCAGTTTACTGAAAAAATTGACAGGGAGTAAAATGAAGAATTGTTTTAA